GCCAGAAACCTTCCTTTAACCTGCAATATACCAAATCAGAGCTAACTAGGTTTTGTGGGTTTATATACTAGAGGAGTAGAGCTGCAGGTTATACAGGTACCACATGTTGTGCGGTTTATCAAATGGAAAATTCTTGTTAGAGATGTTTGGTTAAATTGGGATGGAAACTCCGCCAGAAGCCGCCTACACCACTGAACCAAACTTGTTGGGTTAGAGAAGCTTCACAGAGCTTTCCTCAGCTAATTCAACCAACAGTTTAATGTCATGTGATGGAGCTGACAGCACGCCGGTGAATCCTTTCCAGCTGCACAGACTTCAGAGGACGTTTATTCCCTAACTCTAAATAATCTGCTACAGCCGCAGGAGCGAAGGGGGGTGGATCACACGACGCTGCCTCTTTTATCTTATCAGGATTAAAACGCTGCCTTGTATTCCTTCTATTGCCACAACTCTGACCAAGTCGCAGTGCATCCGAAATGACTCCTTTTCATTCAGTTGTGGCATGAGAACACACAAAACACATGCAGAAGGCTCTGTGTCAACAATGTGTAGGTTGTGTTTTTGAAAATAAGGCAGGTCTGATCTAAAGCAAAGCCTTTTTGCAAATGTGCTAAGGGAGAGCGCACCAAAACACAGGGGGATGTGGGAGGTGGCAGTGAGAATCTAGGGTCTAACATAGTTTATAACAGGGAACAGAAGCTCAAATCCCCATCTGTGCATGTTTACATGAAGAGTCTCCAGGAGTGTTCATAGCCCCAGCTGTCTATCTACTGCATGAGAAACAGTCCTGGATGCTTTCCATTGAAAAAGAAACCAGGTGTGCCCTGGTCTTTATCAGGAAATGGACAGTTAAAGACTATAAAACAAGTTGGTCTTCATCCTTGAATGCTCTTTTCTTTTAAAAACCAAACCATACCGATAGATAACACTTGCAACAAGAAGATAAACTGGAGAGCACAGACCTCTACCAAGGCCAAATGCCCTATCTTGCTATGTCAACGCAAGTGAAAACTTCAAAGGTTGACATTTCTGCATCATTAATAGTGTTTTCAGTAAGACTTTGGTAGGCTTTTACAAGGGAAAAGACTTCCAAAATGAGGGCCAGCTGGTTGGTTTAGTAAACTTCTGGTTAACTTTCCCACCACTGAAAAAGAGCAGCAGCTTTTATGTGTCTCCTACACAGTGAAGGACACAGTCCCTACAGGGTTAGTGTTCATACACTATGACACCACATAGACTCAAAGGATCATGAGCAGGACTGTGGTGGTACACCTACACCGTACAGCAATCTCATCATATCAAGACCAGAACTGACCAGGGATCTGAAGTAAAAATGTAATAAAAGCTGTGTGCTTCATGTGAAACACATTCACATAGCATACAGAGTATAATCACACATTTTTACAGATCTACAAATGTCACAGACTAAATTTGTTGTGTTGTGATTGTGATCTGATACTAATAATACAACTGCATATATCAACTATAACAATAGTGCTACTAATACTTTTCATTGATCATATTATGCATGTATGTCCACTGAAGAGAGGCATGTCCAGATAATTCCAGATAATTCTGTCTGTCTGAACACAGTCCATCAGTGAGACCTGTCTGTGTCTTCGTCCTGTTTTCTCATTCTGCTGATGAGCTCCGATATGTTTGAACAGATCTGTGGTATCTCTACTACAGCTGACAGCTTTCCAGCAAATATCACTGTTGGTGACATTTTCATTTACAAGCAAGAAAAACCTGCAGACTTTTACCACCTGAAAGCTAATCTCATATCTCAGAGTAGGAGGCGATAATGCTGCAGTACATTATTTTATTATTCAGTCTGACATCATGTTCATGTTAGTTTTACCTGACAGAGGCTGTGGTAGCTGTCACTTAGAGCAGGTAACTTCACATTTGTCACGTCAAAACATTATGTCAATACAAGAGTTGTCATTTCAAAAATTTGACTCACAGCTGCAAACATCTCCTACGCACTGTTTGAGGTCATTTTTTTCTGTCGTTTTTTCTCTGCTCTGCCACAGGAAGAATGATCAAACCTTGAAAGCTCTGATTGGCTCAGTTGCTCTGTCAATGAGCGAAGCAGCGCACGTGTTTGAATCACTAACAATATGTGGACAGAGATTCAGAGTTCTGGAGCAGGCCAGGAGGTAGGGCTGGGTAATATGGCTTATAAATAATATCTCAATATTTTTAGGCTGTGCCACAATATACAATCCACACACTGATAATTTCCTATTCTGTCTAAAATAGCACAACTGATTTAACCCTTAGATGTGTATAATCACACCAGTGTGATCATTCTAGCAAACTAATCTGAATTAAGAGGGAACACAGCTTGTGTATGATATTTTAGAGGGCTTTAATTTTGAAATTCAGCACCAGAATATCATGATATTATCTAAGTGACATCCTGAGGTGGTGTTTTGTTATTCTGAAGTGAAACTGGTCTGTGGAAACATTAAGTTTCTCAGTGACAGTGTAAGGTGGTGCACATCATTTTGAAGTCAGATTGAACTGACAGACATTGATTGTATAGAAAACTGTCCATCACACTTTTATTTTGAAGTCAATTCTTATAGGCTCATACTGTAATACCTATTTTATACACGTAGGGCAAAAAAGCATTTAAGTTAGTTCTAGAGGCTGGGCATTTGGTTTGACTCCTGTGTTCTGCACTGGGTAGTGTTTAAAGTGATGGAATAGATTCATGGTACTGCTACATTTAGCATGCCTGGGTCCAGACCTTTGAATCCACCCACTCCACTGAGTTTGAGTTGACTGGTGAGGCATTGTGATGTGAAACAGACATTTCTCAGTTAAAATGAAAAATAACCAATGAGCACCATGAGAGGACTAATGATTAACCAATCAGCACCATGGGCAGGACTAATGCCCTTGTCAAGATATTGTCAAGCATTGTCAAACTGTGCGCTGGAACCAATGAGGAGTAACAACAACAACAACGGCAAGAGAGATAGAGGCTGCTATCGAGGCTGTTTGAAGTTGCCATCTTCTCAGTATCGCCTGACATAGTAGTTTGTTTTACTTTGCTCCACTGCACTCTTAGAACCCAAGCAAAACAGGTATGTTGGTATGCCTACACATCTGGGTCTGCTCCATTTAAGTGCGCTAGTCCTGCTTAACACGTAACGCAAAGGCTTGTCTTATCAATCTCCCATGACTTGATTGTGTATGGGACATGTGGTCGTTGTGATGAAGACGCCACTGTCAGATCTGGCCTATCTGCCAGCTACAAATGTCAAATGGTGTGCAGACTCCGCATACCTAGCGCACCATGGGCGTAAGCCAATTTGGTAATGGTACAGACCCAGTGGACTTAAAATGACATCAGATTGAGGCAGATATGTTGGTCTCTAGCGACTGGTCAGGGAAAACTGAACACCTTCCCCCCCAATGAAATCAGTTAGAGTGGACACAATGTCAGAGTGAAGAAGGAAACGGAGTGTAATGAGTTGACAATCCTGTCAGATATCAAGCAAACATTTAGCAGCATTAACTGAGAACTCAGGACAATGATGTTAAAACGGTGGTGCCAGTAGCAATTTTGCTTTCAGCCATGCTTGTTGTTGCCATGTCATTACGTCACAAATCAACAAGAATATTGGCGCTATTATGGTACCTTTTTTTTATCATATTAAAAATAATCCCGGTATATTCATGACCAATATGATATGGCACACCCCCAGTAGGAAGATTTTTTTTTTTTTCACAAAACACTGCACTGCCTTTGTTTAACAAGTACCAATCATATTCTTTAAAGGCGCTGTATGTAAGAATGTGGCCAAAACGGTTACTGCACTCAAATTCAAAATACTGCCGCGAGTCGTGTCCACCCCCCCTCCCCTACAGATTCGAGGCTGCTGGACAGCGGCACGCTGGAGACTGATTTGTTTGCCCACGGGCGGCTGCCGTGGCAGGGCCGTGTTGCCGCATCCTTGATCTTCGGTTTTCCAGCGGACCGTTCGAGCAAGTCCGGCTTCTCTGCTGCTAACGCTGCTGCCGGGATACAGCTGAGGAGAAGCCGGCTGCTAATTCTATGTATTGGGACACTGCTAATGCTGCTTGCCGTGCTGCTGTAGCTCAGTCGTAACTGTAACTGATGCTGAGACTCTACTGACTGTGTGACTGGTAGACGGCGGTGGGTGGCGCAGCAGGCCAAAACACAAATTCAAAAGATAAACATGATTTGCAGACTGCAAAAAAATTTTTTAGATGCAAATATTCTGGCTGTACTATTGTTGTCGGTGAGATCAGTATGTTATATGAACATTATTCCTTCGTCTCTGTGACATATTAGGAGGATTTTACGACTGTTTGCTTTAGATTTCTTACATATAGCTCCTTTAAGTATACATTCTTTACAAGCAGCCACATTTACTGCTGTACTAATTTGCATGTCTTGATATTTATTTTGAGAAACTCCTTCTCTGAATGAGACTCCATGCTGCTGTGCTAAAACTGCTTCAAGAGCACATTAACAATCTCCACTGCAGCTTCTGTTACTCCTGAACCAGAAAAAAGAAGCGCAGGATTAAACAGAGAAAACCTTGAGAAAAAAAACTTAAATTACTTATAAAGCCAATTAACATGGCACCATAATTATCAGATGACCTTTGTGTTTTTTAACGAGTTTACTGCTGAAGCTACAGCACTGAAATCCAATTTTTTTTACTTCCTCTCATGTCACATAAACAACACAATGGAATAATCAGAAAACGGGTCACGTCAAAATCATCGCAAAGGAATCAACAACAAAGCTCCTGAATGTGTCTCACACATAAATTGATACCTGTTATTGTCTCAATACGGCTCATTTTACACTTCACATGCAGTCATTTTCCTCCCTGATGGTAAAACCTTGTCACAGTCCCACACACATTTGCTGAGCGGAAGAGACGGGAGTGAGGAGGCAAAGTGTGGCATCTGAAGAAGTAAAAAAACAGAAAACAGCATTTGTTCCTCACCAGATTCGCAGTTGTAAATCCCAGTGTGGGAAAACTGACAGAGAAGCTGCTCAGTCGCAGTCGATGACTCCAACAGGAACCTCCAGAGAAAATCCAGTCTGTAAATAAATATATACGAACAGGTATAAGATGACAGATACAGCGTGTGACAGGAAGATTACTTGTCAGACAGAATGTATATATAAGATGTCAAATAAAAATCCATTCAAAATAACAAATAGAAAAATGGAGATTTCTGTTGAGAACACAAAAACTACTGAATATAAAACAAGAAAAGCAACAGAGGATCAATTGAAGTGTCAGTCAAACAGCAGAGAAGGCTGCTCTTTACTTAAGATCTTTTTCTTAAAGTTTGTCTTGTTTTTGTTGCCGTCATTAGCACTCATCACTGTTTCTGCATTGTACTTCACCTGTCAATCAAACACCGCAGATGAGGATGTGATGTGTTGAATTTAAGTTTCTACAGCCGGAGGCAACATTTCATAATGGAGCAAAAAACTACTGCAATACAAGAACAGCTCTGTTTATGCACAATTGTGGCTAAAACCACAAGTCACAGTGTCAAACCAGCAATGACTTAAGACAATAAGTAGCCTAAAATGTTTTTACAGAGTATCATAAACGGCTGTAGTGTTTTGTTGTCTGACTAACCTTCATATTTATGGACTCAAACTGGATTTCCTGCATCGTATTTCATCTTCCCACCAGTACTGCAAAACAACATGCCCCAACCAACACAGTCTTTTGTGTTTTTGATATAGTGCTATTTTCAGAATGCCTGCTAACCTATTGGGCTTTTACAGCAGCATTAGCAGCCACTTTTCATTCACAGTATGAGATGGATCTTCTGTGGCTGATTTGATTTGCAAGTGATGTCTGTGGATGGGGGCTGAATGCGCTGTGATTTATCCAAGATATTATGTATTAAGGAAACACAACAAGCTGCTGTCATGTACAAGAAGACAGAGGGGCTTTTGGAGATTTTAATACCAAATACAAAGCATTCTGAGAGGTGTGCTTATTAGCTCAGCAAACTTTCTTTGATGCATTTAGTGAACGCTCAGTATGATGATCACTATGATGACATAATCTAAAGGAAATCTTCTTGGCAATAAATCCTATACCATTGGAAAGTCTGTTAAAATGGTGCCACGTTTGTAAAGAATGTGCATTTGTGGGATGAGCAGCAGAGCTGAGTATGTGGGTTGCACCCATGAAAAATTTGCCAAATCTTCTCTGCCACTGCCAAACAGCTTTTTTTTTTTTTTTGCTGATCATCAGTGATATTTCCAGCCTTGATTGCGCCACCAAAACGTTTGTGCCTAAACATAACCACACGTGAAGCACAGCATTTTTGAAATGTAAAGGAAAAAAAGAGTTCCAACGTAACCGCTACATAACAATGTAGTGTTACTTATCTGTGGTTTACAGAAACATACAATGCAAACATGTATTTTGGCATCTAGGTTGCCTTGCTCAAAACCAGCTCCAAAAAAAGATGTTTTTCTCCAAGACATTTCAACCCCCAACTCTTTGCATATAACCACTTGGTCAGTAAACTTTCACATCTACATATGATGTGCTAGGTATACTGGATGCATCTGTTGTTGAAGTTCTAGGACACTGGGTCAATTTACACTTGTTACATAACATTGTGTGTTCTGGTTTCAAAGGAAATGTACAGTTTCTGCTCAGAAGATGCATACAGTGTTTTTTCAAAAGAAACTTGCAACGTCGGTAAAACACAACAAACTTAAATTTATTTCATTGTGCATTAAAAGCACATGGTTTAACTCTATATTCATATGGGAAGTGAATACCGACCTCCTAGGTGAAAGTCTGGTGTTGTTGGACCCAACCTTCCCCCTCCCCTCACTCACTCAATAGGGACTTTCCAGGTCCTTAAAATATGTTGTTGTCCAGGGGTGTTTCAACTGACGCTGACACTAAACAGCGTATCTTGCAACTGCGAAAGGATATCTGTTTTTCGTCAATGTCTGACATGGAAATTGTTGACCAAATATCAGTATTTGACAACTTTGGATTGAGACCAAGTTGTTCTCCCCAACACTTTCTCATCCCAAATCATCACAAATCCCTGCTTTGTCAGCAGCCTTTCATGTCAACATTTCATGAGCTAGGTATCCCTTCCACCTATAGCAACTTTCTAGTTCCTTATATCACGTCGTTACCCACAGCGTTTCAACCCAACGATATCTGTCTGTGAATCACACTGTAGCAACAGTTACTGTCCAGCTGACCAGCGACATATCACAACACCATAAAGGTTTTATCCACCTGCATTACAAACTGAGGCTGCCCTGCGGCGTATCATACCATCGTGAAAAGGTGGCTTTTGGAGTCAGGTGTCTAACGCTAATATCACTGACATAGCGGCAGTATTTGACGACTTAGAATGAGAACGGGCAGTTCTCCCAGTTTGGTGTGGAAGAACTTGATTGGTCTGCACAGAACCTTGCCCTCAACCCCATCCAACACCCTGGGGATGAAATACAATGCTGAGTGTGAGCCCGACTATGGCTGCACAATTAATTGAAATAGTGTCAAAATTGCAATATGGCCAAGTCCAGTATCCAGCTGCAAAGTTTGATAAAGGTTAAATGTGTAACAACTTTCCATTATAAATTAAGCATTAGAGATGCCCTGGCAAAAATTGTGTTGAACCTCACTTATGGTCTTGTGGCTGAGAACAAATCCTATGGACAATCTGGTGGAAAGACTGAAACCAGAAGAGTGGAGGCAGCTGAAGCAGCACATTAATGTCTACAGAATAACATTACGCAACTAACACAGATGCGTGAATAGGTCACGTGTCCACACACTTTTGGCCATATAGTGTAGTTTATAAAGTGGCAGCTGGATATTTTTAGCTAACCTGACAGAAGAGCTTTTATTACAGTGATGTAGTGATACACTGAAGAAAAAGCTTCATTGAGCTGGACTGGATCAATTGTGTGATATACAGACTTGCTGAGATAAAAACATGACTGATTGTTACTGTAACTAGTAAAACATGATTCCAAGTCTGCAAGCAGGTCTCATTATAGTTGACTTCTGGGAAGGTAGCACTTTGTACTGAGGTTCTGGGGAGATGAAGAAAGGGGGAGTAAAGCAAAAAGGGGGGGGGGGGGGGGGGGGGGGGGGGGGGGAGGGGAGTCAACAAAAAGAGAGTCTAGACTTTATTATGTCATCATTAGCACTTGATGCGATCCGACCAAAAGACAGATCATCTCTGCAGCCATACAGAACGGAGGGAGGCGACATGACGCCTGTCAGAAGCCCCATGAAATTCTGCCCCAGAGCCCGATATGAGCCAGAGCCTGTGACAAACCCCCACCCCACATGCCGACAGTCTAATCTGCATCCACATCAAGGAGGGTGTGGGTGTGTGTGTGTGTGTGTGTGTGGGGAGGGGGGGGGGGCTGGAGTCATCCTGAACTGCAGGAGGTCCCGGGCTGTTTTTACTGCAGCTGATAGCGGGAGTGCTGCTGTTGTTTGTGTGCTAACAGCCCTCTGATGGCTCCAGGAGAACAGCCAGATTGGCTCGTAGTGTGAAACAACAGCAGCCATTAAAGCTCAATACGACCTGGGGGAGGGAGGGGGCAGCCATCCACGCCGAACACAACCCTGCCCAGTGTGAGTGTGGGTAATTTCTTTCTTTTTCTTGCTCTTTTTGTCTTACGTGGCAGTAAACAAAATCAGGGGAGAGTCAGATTCATTTACATGCATTCCAGTGATTATTCCTGTCTTCTTACAATAGTAAAGGGATTTCTGAAAGGAGAAGTCTGATTTTCTGAGTTTAACACAGACACATTTCTCACCAGTGAGTTCATAGTAAGTCCATATGTCCACTTAAATGGGTTTGCGAGAATACATATGAGTATGGAAGACCAAGAAGAGTGTCATTGTGCCAGCAAAAACATGGGATTAGGATCACTGTGCTTACTTGTACATTTTCTCCAATATATTTGCACAGGTTCCTATCTGCTTTCTCCAGTAAATTGATTTGTGTATGATGTAGCTATATAAGAAACTTGGTTAGCACAACTGGGGTAAGGGGTTAGAGAAACCTGACTTCCCTGGATAGATTTATCCCGAAGGGAGCTGATTACTCTACCATATACAGTGGCATGCAAAAGTTGGGGCACCCCTAGTCAAAATTTTGCTTACTGAATAGTGAATAGTTAAATGAGTAGAAGATAACCTGATGTCCAAAAGGCATAAAGTTTCAGCACCCTAAGACATTTGATCTCTCAGGACAACTTTTACCTGGGTCTCATACCTTAATTAGCTTGTTAGGGCTCTGACTTGTTCACAACCATCATTACGAAAGGACAGGCTATGCAAATTTCAAATCTTTATAAATACTTTTACTCCTAAAACCTTGTCCCAACAATCAGCAGCCATGGGCTCCTCTAAACAGCTGCCTAGCACTCTGGAAAAGCAGGAGAAGGCTATAAGAAGAGAGCAAAGTGTTTTCAGGTAGCTGTCTCCTCAGTTCATAACGTAATTAAGAAATTACAATTAACAGGAACTGTGGAGGTCAAGTTGAGGTCTGGAAGACCAAGAAAACTTTCTGAGAGAGCTGCTCATATCAAATCAAACCCCCCATTTGACTGCAAAAGACCTGAAGGAAGATTTATCGGACTCTGGAGTGGTGGTGCACTGTTCTACTGTGCAGATACACCTGTACAAATATGACCTTCATGGAATAGTCATCAGAAGAAATTCAGTGACAGATGTTTGCAAAGGACCAAGGAGAGAGAAGTCCTGTGGACTGATGAAGTTACTGTAAAATAGAACTTTTTGGATGCAATGAGCAAAGGTATGTTTGGAGAAAAAAAAGGTGCTCAGAATTTCATGTCAAGAACATCTGTCCAGCTGTTAAACACGGATGTGGATCTATCAGGCTTTGGGCTTGTGTTGCAGTCAGTGGCACAGGGAACATTTCACAGGCAGAGGGAAGAATGGATTCAATTAAAATACAGCAAACTCATCACAGGATGGCTTCTACAACAGGACAATGATCCTAAACACACCTCTAATCCACAATGGACTACCTCAAGAGGAGCAAGCT